AAAATCACTTGCTTCAATAATAAACCATGCCACCAAGGAATTGAAAAAGAAAAAGCCTCTAGACATATTGAATGCTATTAAAGTAGCACGCAAAGCAGTATCAAACACAATTGGATGTAGGAAAAATGTAATTGTGCCAAGGGTAATCAATGTGCCTAAAATGGGTGGCTTCTTACCACTTGTTCCAATTTTAACAGCTCTAAGTGCTGTAGGAAGTTTGGCTTCAGGAAGTGCAGCAATTGCAAAGACTATTAATAATGCAAGACTAGCAAAAGCACAGCTGCAAGAAAACGAGAGGCATAATAGAAAGATGGAATCAGTTGCGTTGGGTGAGGGCCTATATTAACGGCCATATAGAAAAGGATATGGGATTTCATTTACAAAAAATAAACAAAAACGAAAACGTATTCAAAAAAACTAATAAGTGAGCTACCCAAAAGGGCATTATCCAACTTTGATATAATGAGGTTCGGCTTTAAAAATATTCCACATATTCGTGGAGTATACATGAAGGATGAATTACCGAAATTCCCAAATCTTCATGAGTGTGGGGTAATTAATTTAGCAGACTCTTCATCAATTGGAACGCATTGGGTGGCTTATTTTAAAAAAGGAAAAGATTCATATTATTTCGACAGTTTTGGAAATTTACAACCACCTTTGGAAGTAGTTTTATATTTGGGGAAAAATCTCATGTTTAATTATCAGCGGCTACAAAAATTTGGAGCCGTCAACTGTGGACACTTGTGTCTAAAATTCTTGCTAGACTGCTCTTCGTTTCGCTAATGATGCTTTGGTGTATCGATGCCTCCATTTTTTATTGCTCTACGCTCAACAGGTACTGACCAATCTATCCCTTTTTAACCAATCACACACACAGACACACTCATAACTGTGGTCCGGGGACAAGTGTTTTCTACTCACAGTGGTTGGACGCGTTTTTCCGAGCTCCGAAAGTGAACCGTCTAGGAGCCAGTGTAAACACCTCGGAAGCCGCTGAAAAGCAGTATTAGTGCAGTGTGAGACACATCTCGTCCAGTGAGCAACTCACTCTCACGAATTGGAACAGTTTCCACAAGCCACTCCTTTTTCCATTTTCCCTGGCGTTTTCAGCAGCACAACAAGATCAGCTGATCACAGTGTTGCGTAACGCACGCGTAGGGAGCTTTCGCACTTGAGGTAGTGTTGGAAAACGAGAGTAGCCCGCGCAAATTTAAAAATTTTAACTAGAGGCTAAACCATGTGTTGGCCGTTAATTTAATCCTAAATTTGTGCGTACAGCTAGAAGGCCCACCCATACGGCCCCAGTTAATATTCCGCAGCTGGCTCCAGTGGGGCAAAGCGCAGAAGGCCAAGGAACTAGCCGCTATCCAACCCCTCCGCTGAGGCGGCGCCAGTCAAAAGGGGCTCTGGGGACCGAGAAGGACCGGTATAACTCCCATCAGGCATCCACTGGGGGAAATCCCTGTGCACCGAAGGACCCCACTAAGGAGCAGGTGCGATGAGCCAAACGAAACCGCCTGCAGGCCGGAACGACGAGACCCAGGCATTAGCAGTAGCTAGAGCAGAGGAGGAACTGCTGCGAAACTTCCAGCGCAACAAGCAGAAGATGCAACACTCGCCTCCCACGAGCATGCCAGAGAAGCAACCGGTGTCGGCACCCCCAAATGTGCAGGGACCCGTGTTTGTTTTCGGCGAGACTGAGGAGGAAACAGCTACACCGAAGAGAATCTGGGATGCTGTGAGCCCCGAAGCGAACCAGACTGGAGCGCACAAGAAGCAGAGAGTGGACACTAGCGCACCAGCACTAGCCGAAAAGCTGGGGAAGATGCTAGATGAGATGATCTCCAAGTTCACGGACACCAAGACAAACAACAAAAAGGTGGTCCGCCACGTCACCCAGGGGACAATCGACTCCATGCTGGCGATGAAAAAGCTGCAGGTCGACATCAGTGCACCGCTGGCCGTTGGCCACATCAAGGGCTCTACCTCGAGCGCAAGTCAGCAGACCACTCCCACGCTAACAACCATGATCCCCAAAGCGGCCTGTACCACCGGGCCAGGAAATTCGGCATGGCAACAGGTCAGGGCCAAGCCTAAACCCAGGAATCCCCAACCGAGACCGGAGAGCAGCGAACACAAAGGGATTCGAGCACCAATCGCTGTCATGCCCAGGAAGCAGCGCGCCGACGCTATTTTAATAAAATGCAGCGAAGGCTCGTACGCAGATATGCTGAAGCTGGTCAAAACTTAGCCCTCCCTCCAGGGACATAAAATACAATGTTCAAGGCTTGCGAAGAACTGCAAATGGCGGACTCCTATTGAGAATGCAGAAGCCTCAGGACCCGTCCACACAGCAGCTGCAGGCAGCACTCAGGACGGCCATATCCGATAAAACAGAGGTGGCGGTCATGCAGGAAACTGTGCAAGTGGAGATTCGCGACCTGGACGAGATGACCAGCGGCGAAGAAGTCACTATGGCTCTGTTTGCCGGAGAGGATTGCGACATCCCAAGCAACGCTGCACCTAGGATGCGGAAGGCGTTTGGCGGCACTCAAACAGCAACTGTCAGCCTCAGGCCTGATCATGCGCGGAGACTGCTCGATAAAGGCAAAATCCGAATCGGATGGGTCGTCTGTCGCATCAGACAGAAGACCGAGCTAAGGAGGTGCTTCAAATGCATGGACTATGGGCATACCTCGACGAGATGCAGGGCCTCAAAACTCCTGCTTCAGATGCGGGGAAGAAGGCCACAAGCACTACACGTGCCAAGCCAAGCCCAGGTGTATCCTATGCACCAGAGGAGGCAAACCCGCGGGTGAAGCTGCGCACGCTACTCTGAGCAGGATCTGCCCTGAGTACCTGAAGGCCACCCATAACACGCAGAATGGTTAAGTATTTACAGCTTAACTTAAACCACTGCAGAGCTGCCCAAGATCTGCTGTCACAGACGGTTTTCGAGGAGAAAATTGACATTGCTGTACTGAGTGAACCGTACAAGTCAAAGGCAGAGGGAGTATGGCAACAGAGTGCGGATGGAGGTGCAGCCATATGGAGCTGCGGGCAGTCCCCCGGACACCTGTCGCAGAGGGCGTCGAGACCTGGCTATGCAAGGGCTAAGGTCCAAGCAACCACCATCTACAGCTGCTACCTAGCCCCGAGCTTGCATATAGATGCCTTTAGAGACATCTTGCAGGAGATCGCCCGAGATGCCCGCGGAAGATCCCCAGTACTAATCGCTGGGGACTTCAATGCGTGGTCCACCGCCTGGGGAGCTCGAAAACGACTCAGCGGGAAACCATCCTTCTGGACGCCCTGGCCACATTAGACGTTTGTCTCCTGAACGATGGAGCTAGATGCACCTATAGCAAGGCAGGCAGAGAGTCAATCATTGACCTGACTTTCGCCAGCCCGGAGCTCTGCCAGACCAGCCACTGGAAGGTCACGGATTTGCTCACATACAGCGACCACGCAGCCATTATCACCCAGACGACGCACAGCCAGCAGGGCCCGTCTCTCCGGCAATCTGCGTACAATGTACACACCCTTAACGCAGATACACTCCTAAGCAGTATAGATGGCAACGTCATCACTGGCGACGCCAACACCTGCGCCGACATATTAGCTACGAGAATCAAGGCTGCTTGTGATGCCGCCATGGCGAGCTCCACTAGAGGAAATGGAAGGAGACCAGTTCCCTGGTGGAATCATGAGATATCCGTCGCCAGGAGCGAGTGCCTCTCTGCAAGGCGAAGATGTCAACGAAGTAGAGGGCGTCCCACGCAAGAGCTGCTCGAGACACGCTATAAGGAGAAGAAAAAAGCCCTCAAGATCGCTATAAAGACAAGTAAGAGCAGCTGTTTCCAAGAGCTGTGCGATGCAGCAGACCAGGAACCCTTCGGCTCGGCCTACAAGCTGGTCATGGGCAAGCTCTACAGACCGCCGACTCCAACCTCCCAGGAACAACTTGGAGCTATAATCTCCACGATGTTCCCGTCGCAGCCGCCCCTCGTGCTGCCAAACATAGCTGCGAGTGAAGCGATCTTCACCAACGAGGAGGAAATACTGTGCGCGTTGGCCAGCAGCAAGGCAGCAAAAGCCCTTGGTCCCGATGGCATTCCCAACGCTGCATTGCACGCCATAATGAAGGCCTACCCAAACTTATTTGCACGGGTATACAACAGGTGCATTGCTGAGCGCACCTGCCCAAGAGCATGGAAGCAGCAGAGGCTAGTGCTCATCCCTAAACCTGGCAAGATGAACGACGAACCATCCTCATATCGCCCCCTTTGCATGCTCAACACTCTGGGGAAGCTATTCGAGCGCATCATCTGCAGCAGGTTGGAGAGAGAAATCGAAGAGCGTGGCGCCCTATCGAATCAACATCACGGTTTCAGAAAAAAGCGGAGCACGATTGACGCGATACGCGAGGTTACGCTAATGGCCGCGAACGCGATTGAAGGCGAAAGATGGCAGGGAGGCACAAAGCAATACTGCCTGGTCTGCACCCTGGATGTCAAAAACGCTTTTAACTCAGCAAACTGGAGCCTAGTCCTGCAGGCACTCCATCGCGGCGGCATATCAGGGAACCTCACCCTCCTGATAGCGGACTACTTCAAGGATCGCGTCCTTCTATACACATCTGATGACGGCAACAAGACACACCACGCGACAGGAGGTGTACCCCAGAGCTCTGTTCTTGGGCCAATACTGTGGAATGTCATGTATGATGGGATCCTGAGACTTCCGCTACCTGATGGCTGGGGTTCGCCGACGATATAGCGCTGGTCACGGTGGAGAAGCACCTGTCCGATGTCTCCGCTAAATGCAGCCTCGTGATCGACATGATGATGTAATGGCTGAAAGACAACGGTCTCTCGCTCGCCGAACATAAAACGGAAGCAGTGCTCATAAGCAGCAGAAAGACCGTTGAGAAGGTCAACTTCCGGGTAGGCTCGACAAACGTCGAGTCCAGCCCGGCGATTAAGTACCTTGGAGTCATGATCGACCATAGGTTGAACTTCAAGAGCCACCTGGAGTACGCAGCGGCCACAGCTGCTATCTCGAGGATGATGGCCAACACTTGTGGCCCCAAGCAGCATAGCAGACGTCTAATAGCTACAGTGGTGACCTCGACCATCCTATATGCCGCGCCGATTTGGGCGTAAGCCATGAGGACTGCCAGCTACAGCCGGCAGTGTAAGTCTGTCTATAGACGCTGTGCATTGCGCATCTCGAGCTGCTTCTGCACGGTGTCAGAAGAAGCTGCATTGGTGGTGTCGGAAGCAATCCCAATAGACCTACTGGCGGCAGAGCGCAGGACTGGTAACTCGGGTAGCAGAAACCAGAGAAGCAGCACCATGGCTCGGTGGCAGGACAGATGGAACAACGCGAGCACATGACGATGAACCTACAGGCTCATTCCCGATCTGGCTCCCTGGTTGCAGAGAAGACATGGTCAGTTGGACTTCTATACCACGCAGATCATCACAGGACATGGCTGCTTCAAGGCTTACCATCACAGGTTTAAGCATGAGGATGACCCATACTGCGACTATTGTGGCAGCGATTTCACTGAGGACGCGGAGCATGCCTTTTCCGTATGCCCCCTATTCTCGGCGGAGCGAGCGGCGCTGGAAGCAGCCATGAACCGCAGCCTAACACCCGACAACTTAGTCGGTTGCATGTTGGAGACCCCCTCCAAATGGAATGCGGCTGCCGAAATGGCAGCAACCGTGATGCGAGAGCTGAGGCACCGGAAGCAGACCCGTCGCACTAAAGGCGACCGATGAGCGGCAACAGGACCGCCAACCGCCCCCGTGAAGTATAGCTTCGCGGCAGTCCCGCGGGTGCGGACTCTTCCACTCTATCCATCCACTGTAATATATGTACTTAACCCTATATTCTTTCCAATAAAAAAAAAAAAATAAAAAAAAAAAAAATAAAAATAACTGTGGTCCTTGGTTGGGTATTAATTCGGCCAGATCCTGAAGGAAAATATCATTCAGTGACTACCAGCATCAGCATCAGCATCGGCATCGGCAACGGCATCGACATCGACATCGGCACCAGCATCAGCACCACCAGCTCCAGCACCACCAGCACCACCAGCACCACCAGCACCACCACCACCACCACCACCACCAGCTCCAGCACCACCAGCTCCAAAATTTAGGAATAGAACCTATATATTAATAAAGTTTGAGGATGGGAATGCAAATTTGTTTACAAAAATGTAAAAATTTAATAAATGTAAAAAGTTAAAAAAATAAATAAAAAATATAATATGAAGAGTAAATTAAAACATTTTTTATTTGGGGAATGGGAAACATTTTTTTCAGCATTTTCTTTTCAGCTTAAAAAGTTAAAAAAAAAAATAAAAAAATATAATATGAAGAGCTTAAAAATATTAATAATAATTATAAAAAAAAAAAAAAAAAAAAAATAAAAATAAAAAATAATAAAAAAAAATAAATATTATTAAATAAATAATAATAATAATAAAAATAAATAAATATTTAATTAATCATTCTCGCATTCGACCTTCATCGAGTGCAGACGTGCTTACGGACGACCGCTACGCGGGGTTTATTCTCGAAGTGTTTTTTCATGGTGAAAAAGTAAATTCGGAACTCTAAACTACGTACTGTCAGCTAGGCCAAGCCCTACAGTGCGTATGACATACGGACACTAGTGCGTGAGACGTGTTTTTGAGCTGCAAAGTTCATTTATATGGTGCCACGCGTAACAAGCTCAAAATAATGAGCGGCGATCAAAAGAATGAGCGTAGAACCTCTGTAAACCAAAGAAACGGTGTTTTCTCTTATTTCTCAACTCGCGATATCGAAGCAGAAAAAACGTCTACCAAGCCCAACCCGGCTCTACTGACCGCCGACGGCACGAGAGCGCGCTCTTGCTCTCCCGCCCTACTTATTCCAGCTCCTACATCTTGGAGCTCCCAATGCCAAACCCCACCACCAGCGGCTTCGATGGAAGACGCACCAACAACAAGCAGAGCTGCAATTTCTGCAAACGCATCAAAAGCAACAGCAACAACTAAACCAACGACCAATATTGCGAAATCGGTGCCAACGGCCGCAGCGCAAAATACAATGGTAACAAAAACCGTGAGCTCCGATAAGCAACAAGCGGTTCCGGCCATACAGACTGGCATGGATCGCTACATCCAAATTAAGCGTAAGCTTAGCCCCCATAACACGGTTGGTAACAAGCCTAAGATCAACCGTGTCACCAAAAGCTACGACCCAAACAACACCAACAAATTTTCTCCGCTAGCAGCTGGTGAGAATAATGAAGCAGAGCTGGAGCAGGAGACTCAAAAACAGCCAAAGCCCCCACCTATATATATAAGGGAGAAAAGTTCAAACGCCCTGGTCAACAAAATTGTTGCGGTGGTCGGGGACGGAAACTTTCATGTTGTTCCGATTATTAAAGGGAACATCTGCGAAACCAAAGTTCAAACCAAAACAGAAGAACACTTTCGAGCTGTGTCTAATTACCTGCAGGAAGCAAAAAAGAGCTTTTACACCTACCAACTAAAAAGCAGCAAGGGACTGCAAGTAGTGCTGAAAGGAATTGAACCAGATGTCGCCCCCTCCGAGATACTAGAAGCCCTGAAAGGCAAGGGTTTCTTTGCCAAGAATGTTAGCAACATTATCAACAAAAACAAAAAGCCGCAACCTCTTTTCAAAGTCGAACTTGAGCCAGACAGTAAAGCCCTAAAGAAGAATGAAGTTCACCCGATCTACAAGTTGCAGTTCCTACTGCATCGAAGAATCACCGTGGAAGAACCTCACAAACGCAACGGTCCTGTGCAATGCACAAACTGCCAGGAGTATGGTCATACAAGGACATACTGCACCCTTCGGTCAGTCTGCGTAGTCTGTGGAGACTTCCACAACTCCGCACACTGCCCTGCGAACAAAGAAGACCCCAACACGAAAAAATGTGGAAACTGCGGAGGAAACCATACAGCTAACTACAGAAGCTGTGAGGTCTACAAGGAGCTGAAGAGTCGCATGCGAAGAGCCAACAAAATACACAAAATGTGTATTTTAATTCAAAAACTACTCCAGATGTATTTTTTGCCAAAGCAGCCAGATCTCCTTTTGGTCCGCTAAATGCCCCCACGGGCATCTCCTACGCCGAAGCTCTACGGACAGGTATGCAAAATCCACTCCCCTCAAACTCAGTAAATGCTCAGCAGGCCCCAGAGAAGCCACAAAACAACATGGAACCCATGATGGTGACCATGCAACAAAGCATGATGGAACTCATGTCATTTATGAAAACGACCATGCAAACGCTCGTCCAGAATCAGAATATGGTGATACAGCTGCTCGTAGCACAACAGTCAAAATAATCAATGTCCAATCTACGTATATCCACGTGGAATGCCAACGGCGTCTCACGGCATAAACTTGAACTAACACAATTTCTAAACGAAAACCACATCGACACCATGCTATTGGTTGAAACGCACCTCACAAGCAGATACAACTTTCATATAAGAGGTTATACCTTCTACCGCACAGATCATCCAGATGGTAAAGCCCACGGCGGGACCGGCATCCTTATCAGAGAACGCATCAAACACCACTTCCACCAAAGGTTTGCAACAAATTACCTGCAAGCTACGTCCATAAAAGTGCAGTCAGGTAACGGCAACCTTTGCATTGCTGCTGTCTACTGCCCACCTCGCTTTACAATCTCTGAAGGTCAATTCATGGATTTTTACAACTCTCTTGGAGATCGATTTATAGCTGCAGGAGATTACAACGCCAAGCATACGCATTGGGGATCCCGCCTCGTGACCCCCAAGGGAAGACAACTGTACAACGCTCTCATCAATGTGAGAAGTAAGCTGGACTACGTTTCCCCTGGTAGCCCCACATATTGGCCAGCAGACCCCAGAAAGATACCCGATTTAATTGACTTCGCGGTGACAAAAAACATCCCACGCAATCTAATAAACGCCAAGGCCCTTCCAGACCTTTCTTCAGATCACTCGCCGCTGTTGATAACCCTCCTTCAAAGCCCAGAAACTACGGATCGCCCCTATAGGCTGACGTCGCACAGAACCAATTGGATGAAATACAAAAAGTTTGTGAGTTCCCACATTGAGCTAGCCCCCCAGCTCAATACTGAAACCGACATCGACTCCTCCACCTCCGCACTGGAAGAGGTACTTGTGACTGCAGCCAGAATCTCAACACCACAACAGACGGATGTGCAAAAAATCAAATTCAAAACGAACCAGCAAATTGAACAGCTTATCCAAGAAAAGAGGCGTCTGCGACGGGCGTGGCAAACCAATAGATCGCCAAGCACAAAGCAACGTCTAAATGAAGCCACACGCAAACTAAGCCGGGCCCTGAAGCAAGATGCCGAAAAAGCACAATTAAGATATATTGAAAAACTCTCGCCAACCAGCACAAAGCATCCCTTATGGAGAGCTCACCCAAATTTCAGCTCACCGGCTGAAACCATCACTCCGATAAGAAAGTCATCTGGTTGCTGGGCCCGCAGCGACAAAGACAGAGCCGAAACTTTTGCCTCACATCTCCAGGGCGTTTTCCAGCCGAACCCTGCTGCAAATCCATTTGATCTACCGCAAATCCACACTGAAACGGAATCTACTCCAGAATCATTTCGTCCGAACGAGATAACGAAGGTCATCAGGGAACTGAAGCCGAAAAAGGCTCCCGGCGTTGACCTAATAACTCAAAAAATGATAATTGAACTTCCGAATTGTGCTATTGAGGTCATCTGTAAAATCTTCAATGGGATCATAAGTCTCGGCCATTACCCAACGAAATGGAAAAAATCTATAATTATAATGATACCGAAGCCCGGAAAAGACCACACGATTCCGTCATCTTACCGACCAATAAGTCTACTATCATGCTTGTCCAAGTTATTTGAAAAATGCCTACTAAAGCGCATAATCCCTTATCTGGGAGCTCACAATATTATCCCAGCTCATCAATTTGGCTTCAGAGAAAAACATGGAACTATCGAGCAAGTTAACAGAATAACATCAGAAATTCGCACAGCCTTCGAGCATCGAGAATATTGCAGCGCGATATTTCTCGACGTTTCTCAAGCATTCGACCGCGTCTGGCTCAACGGCCTCATGCACAAAATAAAAACACTCTTGCCGGTATACACACACAAATTACTTGAGTCGTATCTCTACAACAGAGTCTTCGCAGTGAGGTGCAACGCAACAACATCCGGCACCTATTCAATCGAAGCTGGAGTCCCACAAGGAAGTGCACTTGGGCCTACCCTATTTGTTCTATACACAGCGGATATCCCCACAAGCGACCAGCTAACATTATCCACTTTCGCTGATGACACTGCGATCCTCAGCCGTTCCAGATGCCCAGTCCGTGCAACAGCCCAGCTCGCCAACCACCTCAAGGTAGTCGAGAAGTGGCTATCTGATTGGCGTATTAAAATAAATGAACAAAAGTGTAAGCACATAACGTTCACCCTCAACAGACAAACATGCCCCCCGCTCTACCTGAACAGCACACTGATCCCCGAAGTCAACGTGGTAACGTACCTGGGCGTCCACCTGGACAGACGCCTAACATGGCGAAGACATATTGAATGCAAGAAACTTCATCTAAAAATAAAAGCCAGCAGCCTCCACTGGCTCATAAACTCCCGATCGCCCCTGTGTCTGGACTACAAGGTCCTGCTCTACAACTCCACACTAAAGCCAATATGGACGTATGGCTCCCAGCTCTGGGGGAACGCGTGC